TGTTTTTGATTTTTGGTTTTTCTTGTTTTTAGTTTTTGGTTTTTGGTTTTCTGTTTTTAAAAAACAAAAACAACCATTTTTTATTTGTTGTTTTTGAAAAATAGAAAACAAAATATGTTTGGTAACCATTTTTAGTTTTCTGTTTTTAAAAAGTTAGAAAATTGAAAATAATAGAGAAAATTCTATGTAGAGTAGAGATGACAATGATGTAGGTGCGAGTGAGGATACTATCATCCATTCTCGTGCCCGTGAAAATTTTTAAATCTCCGTCTCTATCTCGTTCTTCAGTTTGAGAGATGTTCTCGAGAAAAATTTGGTTTTATAATTGTTTTTAATTATTATCAGAATTTAAAAAATAAAAAAAGCGTAATAAATATATATTAATTATTTAAAAAATGGAATCGAGGCCGAGGTTGGGACATGCATTTCCTATTTTTGGGACCTGACTATGCGGAAAAAAAATTATGGTTGAAAAAATTTAGAGATAAAAACAATATTCAAAATATAATTTTTATAGAAAATAAATAAATATAGACATAAATTAAAGTTAAGAAAATTGAATGAGAAAAGAAGATGGAAAAATAGATTACGAAGAGAAAGAAAAGTTATAAAAAACGACATTTTAGAGAGAAAAAAATTTGAAAAAAATATTAAATTTTAAAAGAGATAAATGAAATTGATCCATTAGAAAAAGAATAAAAAGTAAAGATACATAGAAATGAAAAATTTGGAGAAAGTGACCAATAATAATATATATTCGAAAATTTTAGAGAGAAAAATAAATTTTGTAGAGAGAAATTTATTTAACAGAATAAAAAATAAAAATACATAGATGAAAATTTTGGAGAGAGAAACGAATAATAATAAATATCCAAAGTACGAAAATTTTAAAGAGAGAAAAATAAATTTTGTAAAGAAAAATCGGAAATTTGTTTTTGAAAACTACTTTTTTTTTTAATTTACATAGAATTACAAATTGGTTTTTGAAAAACAAAAAATAGAAAATTGAATTGGTTATCAAACAACCTTATTTTAAAAAAATTAAAAATAAAAAATAGAAAACGAAATTGTTATCACACGGATCCTTAAAGGATTCAAATTAAAATTCAAAAAAAAAATAATTGAATTAGACACATCAAATAAATAAAGGGAATAAATAGATGAAACTTAATATTTTTGCCTAACATGCAAATAAATAAAATTCCTTTCAATATCTAAATTAAATATTTGGTCGAGAAAATAATAATAAATATTTTAAGGGATTTTTTTGTTGTTTTTTATTTTGTTTTTGTTGAAAAATTTTGAAAGAAACGTGACAACTGACAACGGCTGTAGTTTTGGAGATGATGATAAGACAAGAGGCGTATCGCAACCGAAACTCAAACTGTCGCTGACGTCAGACTCAGACTGGACCGCGTAACGCAACTCTTCAACGTCACCGAGTACAACAAAATTCCAACTTCCAACCGAAGTTTCCATCGTTCATAAAATCTTAAGTCACATTTATTATAATTTCAAATTTTAAATTTAGTTTGAAGGACAATTTAATTTGGGATTAGGACATTGATAGGCCATAATTACATAAAAGGATTGAATATATAAAATTTACACTTTTGTTGTGAAACAACCCATTTTAAGATGGTACTTATCACCCAATTTACTTGTATATTCTTTTGTAACTATGCTTCAATATTAATTAATTTTTAAAATCTAAAATTGGTAAATTGAGATCTTACCATTTAAATCCCTTAAATTTTGCTACTTTCCAAAAGTAAAAAATACCAAATTCCAAAACACTAACCAAATCCTCAAAATCTTTCGTAATTGAAAAAATTTGAAAACCCCTCGTTCCTCCGATTTTTCTTCTTCCTCTCTTATTCGAAGACTGCTCCGTTCCGGCCGTCTGCGCTCCTCTATTCAGGCCGTCTGCGCTCCTCTGTTCCGGCCGTCTACGCTCCTTCATCTTTGGCCATCTGCATTCCTTCATCTCTGGCCGTCT